TTGTCGAATTTCTTCTGTGTCCGCTGCTGTGGCTTGAATGTGTCCCCTCCAAGTTTGAGGTGTTGCCAAACTGATAGTATGAAGAGATGGGGCCTGTGAGAGGCGATTGGGCTGTGAGGGCTCCTTCTTCGTGAATGGGATTCAGGCCCTTGTTAAAGAGGCTTCCCATAGCATTTGGCTAGCTTGCCCTGCTGCTTCTGCCATGTGAGGTGCAGCAAGGAGGCCCTCCCCAAACACCAAATGCTGCCAGCGCCGTGATCTTGGACTTCCCAGTCTCCAGAACCGTGAGAAAATAAATTTCTGTTCTTTATAAATCGCCCTGTCTGAGATATTCTGTTATGGAAGCACAAACGGACTAAGACATGATGCTCAGACTTGAGTGTGCATCAGACTTCGTCAAAACACAGGTCGCTGGGCCCCACCCCACAGTCGCTGAGTCAGCGGGTCTGGGGTAGTTGCTGGCAACTTGCATTTTTATTCTGGGGAGCACACTTTGAGAATCACTTTTTCCTGTCTACCTGCATCCAACTGTTGGTGTAATTAAGTCATCACTTTAACACCAGAATGCTGAGGTGAGTTTGAAGGGCAGCTCTAGGCCATCCCTGTCCAGTATAATACGAGTCACATGAGGAAGGTCAAACATTCTAGTAGTCATAGTAAAAAAAGTCGAAAGTAATAGGTGGAAGGCAAGATTTCTTGCATTCTTATTTTCATGCTGAGTCTTTGGCTTGCATTGAGTATTCTGCATTTTCAGCACATCTCAGTTTGGACTGGCCACCTTTCAAATGCCCAGAGGCCAAAATGGGGCTGGTGGCTACTGTCCAGACAGTGCAAATTGAAGATCATTCCCGAGAGACTCCTTCTTCCCTTTCTTAAAATGTGTGATTTAGGTGCACTTCCCCTGTGGCCGTGAGTTCTGTAATCTCTGATTCCCCAGTGAGTTTCAGTCTGTGAGGCTCCTCAGTAACTGTCCTTAGGTGATGAGGGCAGACAGTGTCCGGGGCTGGGGCTCCTTCAGGCTGGGGTTAGAATCAGAGGAACCTGGGCGTCAGTGTTACTGGGGGCAGATGTTCTCTTTCCTAGTCTCCCTGAAAAAAAATTAAAAAGATCAGAATGAGGAGTCAGTGACAAGTGAGAGTTCGTTTATGAATGTGAGAGGTCAGTAAAGAAGAGGGAACAATGATCTTAGAGGGAAAGTTGGACAGAGAGGTAGAAGAAAATGAAATAAACCAAACAAAAACCCGGCTGCAGTATGTGCAGGGCAGAGAGTCCTCTCTCTATATCTGTCTCTGTCTCATGGTTTATACATTTATGGACTCTTTAAGCACAGTTGCCTTTTGATATTTTTATTTAATTAGGATGTAATGAATTATGTTTCTCTGACTCACGTATTATTATTGATAATAAAGGAAAATGAGAATGCTGTTTTAAAAGACCATTTTATCAAGGCCATAAATATATCTGTCACCTCTCAAAATTTCCTCTCCCATATCCTTTGTTATTATTATTTTTATTATTATATATTTTTTGTAAGAACACTTGACATAGGACATACCATCTTAGCAATTTTAAGTGTGCAATAGATTATTGTTAGCTGTGGGCACTGTGCTGTATAGTAGACCTCCAGATACCCTTATTTATCTTGTATAACTGGAACTTCGTACCCTTCAACCTTCGCCTCCCCACTTCTGCCTCTAGCCAGCTCCTGGCAGCCACCGTTCTACTCTCCGCTTCTATGAATTTGACTGTTTTAGATTCTATATGTAAGTGAGATCAGACAATATTTGTCTTTCCGTGCCTGGCTTATTTCCATTTCTGGGTGTGCATTGCAGCCAGGACAGGAAAACTGTGTAAATGTCCATAGACGAATGGATGGCTCGAGCACACTGACGTTATGTATCACAAAATATGATATTTCTCTTTTAACCTGATGACACACAAAATGGAAGTCAAAATAAAGGAACTTGGGAACTCTTGAACGTTAAGTAGCACCAAGCCCCAAACTCTAGAAATTAGCCTTTTGAATGCACTTCTAAACATATCAGCTTTAAAACTGATTTTAAACTGAACTTTTAGTGAATAATTTGGTTTGTGGGTCAGCAAAGTTTGGAATAAATGTCTTAGACCAATTGGAGTGCATCTGCGGTTCAGAGAACAGCAGCTGTTCAATCTAATACCTTCAGAAGATAGGGCCTTCTCCCCGAAGTGTGTGGGGTCTCTGTGCCCCCTGCCTCGTTCTCTCTTAAATTGTTTAAAAATAAATATCATGGTTAAGTAGACTAGCATGAAAAATCGCTGCAATCATACATTCAAGATATATGTGATAATGATGGTCTCCATAATGCCCTGACATTTGAATTTTGTTGAAGATTTTTATCCTGAAATATTACTCTGTTCATTTATCACAATCTCTCTTTTCAGTGTGGGCTGATTCAGTACGCATTTGAAACGCTTTGAAGTGACTAAAGGGTTGTTAGAGGTAGTTACTTCAAAAAAATTGGCATTTTGCAAAGACACGTTTCCCCCATGGTCTCTGTTGATGTTTGAAGCCCTCAAAATGTTAGCGAAAAAAATTTCTTATGAAATAGTTTTCTCTGGGAGTACTATGATTTGAGACTGACTGGCTGTTGATTCAGATCATCTCTTCTGGAAGAAGTTGTTTTCACAGAATGTGCTTCAGGCTAAGTCTTGGGGCTTGAAAGGTTTATCTTCAGTTCAGAATACATAAATATAAAATTAACCCAGCTTTAAAATAAGCTTCAAAGTCAGTAAAAGATGGCATATTTCTTAAAATATGTATAGGCAGTAAAGTTCCTAGGCCACATTGCTCACTGTGGACAGTGAGCCTGTCCACAGTTCTTAAGTTTCTTGTTGCAGGTATTATGTACGATCACGTGTAAAGAGAATGCTAGGAGAAATGGCTTTAAATTTTCTCAGTGAATTGGTTTATTATCTACTTTATGCATACATATTTGTAGCTAAGTATTTATCTCAAAATACTAAGGGTTTGACTTCAAAAGAAGGCATGAAAAAAATGCTGTTATTTATCAGATACTTCCTGTGTGCTTAGAACTATGCTGAGTGATTTTTATGAATTTTCTTAATTTACTTCTTAGATTGTCCTTGTGAATACTGTTACTATCATCTTTATTGTGCACATGTGGAAACAGAGGCTTAAAGAGGCGAAGTCATTGGTCTTTTGGGTCCCAGGTAGTAGAGTCAGGATGGAAACTGGCCTTTGGACATAGAGCCCACTGCCTGCATGATCATATTCTTCCTTTAGGAAAAGTACTGGATTATCTCACTGACCAGGTTCCTTTCCACTCTGTACTTAGGAACAACTATAAGGTGAAAGCAAATAATAAGGAACTCTCATGCAGCCTTGGCTCTAGAAATTTTCCGGATGTAGCAAGCAATAAATGCTACCCATGTTCCCACACTTAAGACCTGAAGAAGGTCTAGAGAAAGACCATCATGTAGATTAAACAGCTAATTGTTTATCAGACTGGCACCTCTGTATAAATATAGCATGTAGGTATTATAAAGTCAAAATAGGACAATTCCAGGTCTCCATTGGTAACATGGAAAAATGAAACATTAGAAGTCAGCTTTCTAACCTGGGTTCTACTCTAAGAAACCATTTAATTTTTCCCCAACTCTGTATATGAGTAGATTGAATTAGAATCTTGTGGAATTCAACTCTTGGAGTCAGGGAACTTCTCCTTAGGAAAATGCACGTGTAAACTTTTGGGCCCCCTAAAGGCTCTAGGTGTTCTTAGACCTTTATTAGAACCCTCGACTTAGTTGATCTCTTGCATTTCATTTCGCTTCACAAATTGCAGAATTCTATGGCTGTCACATTAAGGACCTTTATAGATACAATCCTTTGATACACAGATTGTGACTGTTTGGTGGATGAATGCTGCTCAAGTCACATTTGCCCAATACTCTGGGATATATGCAGGACATAGATTATATTGATTTGACTAGAATTCTTAAAGAGGTGGCTATGGGGCTGGGAAATGAGCAGGTGGACTTGGAATTGTCAGATTTCTATCACTAGCTTATTTGGAAACTTTTTAAGCTTTTAAGCCTCTGAAGCCTTAGTTTTCCCTTCTGTGTAAGGGACGAAGAATGTCTGTGTTCTGTGACTATGTGGCACTTAAAGGAAATAATGGACAATGAGCCGTGTAGGTAAATCAACTAATAGATGTGAATGAGCCTGGAGATGCTCATCACGTTTTTGCTTGTTGCGCAAATACTTCCCAGAGAGTCACGCCTGGCAGGTGTGGGTTCTTAGGAAGCTCAGACCATGCAAGTCAGATAAACTGCTATGTGGCAAATGGGGAAGGTCCCCTTGGCACTCTGGAAACCTCTTCACATGTAACAGGCAATTCACAGGACCTCTGGAGGCTGCCCAAAAAGGGAGATGAGCTTGAAAATCAGTCTTGTTAAAAGATGACAGTGGGCTTAAACTTTGGAAAATCGTAAGTATTCTTTGGGCCTGTGATCATCAAAGCGCTAAGTAAACAGCAAAGAAAGTCTTTTGATGAAGGAAATCTCTAATCCATTTAATGTCTAATCTGTATTAACATACAGGAACATCAGAATCTATTAATTAAGAATATACTTGGGAAGCATTTGTAAGAACTTATTAATTCATTTGTTCACTCTTTCTTAATATATTATAGACAGGCATAAAACCTTTTGGAGAGAGGTGTGTATCATTCTCACAGTAACAAATACAGCAGGTTTTTGTGGCTATTTGAGTTGTCTGGAGATAATTGGTGTCTGTACTTCTATTGTCATCTCTTGAAAGGGTCTTGTCTAATGTCTTAGGTCTAGAAGGATTAAGTCTGTTTTTCTCTTTTTGAAGTTTAATTTTAACTTTCTCCTTTCTAATGGTTGTAATTTATACATATTTTAAGCCATTTATAAAACTCAAATCTTGTTAATGTCTGATCATTGATTAATCTATTATGTTGTTCTTTCATTTTCAGATAGAAGAATTTCGAAGGCTGAGGACACACGTTAAGGGGGCAGAACTTGTGGAAGGCTGTGATGGGATTTTGGGAGACAACTTTCGACCCACTCAGCCACTTAGTGACAGAGTCATTAGAGCTGCATTTCAGTAGCCGAAGAGAACAGGAACAAGTCCATCTTCATCAGGGTATGTGCAGATAAAGTAAGGAAAATGAGGTACACCATTACATAAATGTAGCATCCCAAAGTTACTCGCATCATAACCCTGACACTTTAGCAATAAAACATGTGCTCTTCATTTTGACAATATGTATGCTTTGTCATGCCCCCTCACTTCTTGGAGATGTTTGTGACTCATTAATAGGCTAAAGGCTATACAAGACAAAAGTTAAACCACACCTGCAGGCCATGAGGTTGCTCAACAGATCCCTTGAGTTCCAGTAAATGTCCAGTCCAGCGGGGTGGCTTGTCTCTGAGTAACAAACATCCTTATCTTAAGTTAAAACATTCCAAGCCTTTAGACAAAGCTTCATTTATGTAACCAATTACAAATCAAAGAAGCTTTAAACCCACCTATAACCTATAAGTCCCCCACCCCACTTTGAGATGTCTCGCCTTTTCAGACCAAACCAATGTGCGCCCTCCGCATATTGACTTAGGGGCTTACGTGTAATTCCTGTCTGCATGAATGTATAAAACCAAACTGTAAGCAAGCTACCATGGGCACATTTTCTCAGGATCTCTTGAGGTCGTATACACCAGGCTGGTCACACACATTCAACTCAGAATAAACCTCTTTAAATTATTTTACGGAGTTTGGTTTTTTTTCTGTTAATATAACAATGCGAAAAAAACCACAAAAATACATACTTACAAGTTGTAATGAATTCATGTATGAGAAGGATGAAGCAATGCCAGGAAGGAGATTTCAGGTAGATAGAATATCTTTTGCAAAAGCCCCGAGGGACTACTCTCTGTGGAGGAGGGAAGACTTTGGTGTGTTGAGGTACCTGAAAGAAGGTCTGGTGAGTTTGGGGTATAGAAAATGCAGGGGAGAGGCAGGCAGGGTCCAGATCTTAGAGGGCCTTGGCAGTAATGTTAAGGCATCCTTATTTTATTGGTAGGCATTGTGAACCTATAAAAACTGGCACTCAGGAGAGTGACCTGATCCCATGTATATTTTTCATAGCTCACCCTGGCTGGAGAAGGACTGGGTTGCATTACAGTGGGCCAGGGCAGGAGTAGAGAGAGATTTTAGAACCCTGCTGGGTAACCGAGGTGATAGGCATGGAGACTTGTACACTAGAATAGAAGCAGTGGAGACAGAAGTTAATGGGTGTGAAATAGAAATTGTAGGTGGTATCTGGTGATGAATTGGGGGAGGGTGGAGGGAGATGGAAGTGTCAAAGGTAACTTCCATGGGTTTGGGCTTTAGAAACTGTGGCTGGAGTGCTACCGAGTGGCCGTGGGAAAGCTGCAGGGAGGCCCTGTTTGGGATGGAAAGATGAAGAATTGAGTGAGCAAGAGATGCCCTGTCAGCCACAGCAGTGGGCTCCTGGTCATGAAGACCATTGGAATTTCCAGAGTGGAGATCAGAAAAGAGGTCTGGGTTGAAATATGTGAGTGTTTTGGCGTACTTGATTATATGTGGATGTGCACATATAATGTTCCAATGGGTCTAATGGGATTACCTCACTAAGTGTTCATAAAATCTCGTGTGAGGCTGCACAAATGAGTTAACCAAGATAAAGAGAAGTTAGGTCATGGCCCAAAGTTAATGCAGTTATTAAGCAGAGGAGCTAGAAGTCAGATCCAGGTGGCTCGACCGTCAGAGCTCTTTTTCTTAAGCACTACATGTACGGAGCTCAAAGAGGGTCCCCACACTGTGGTCAGGTGGCATGGAGTGGCACAGGAATGAGGGGTACGTGTTACAGCGGCCCAAGGTGAACGGGAAGGGCAGGGCTGTCATGGCTACTCTGGATGAGCAGGGCCGAGGGGCGGGCAGGAGGCCCCCGCAACAGAGAGGACGCGGGATTGAAGGAGACCTCTTCTTTTCTTTAAACAAAAGAAATACCAGAACTTGTCTATATACTAGGGGCCAGGGAAGAACAGAGGATGGAGAGAGACCTAAGGTGCTGTTTCCAGGAGGAACTAGAGCAACGACCTCTCTGAAAAGTTAAAGAGATGGAATCCTGAGCACACAGAGTGACTGACTTTTGTTGGGAAGATGAACACTCTCTGTGCTGTAGCTAGAAGGAAGAAGGAGGCGGTGGTTACACAGCCTGTGCACGATTTGCTTTTATCATTTAATGAAGAGCAGAGTAGGAGCTAGGAGGGGCGAGCCCCAGGGAGGCTGGGCTGGGAGCAGGCAGAGGGGAAGGATGGGCTCCCCGGAGAAGATGGTGGTGTGACTGCAGAGAGCGTGGGCGAGCATGAAGTTGTGTGTTGTCCAGTCTGTGCTAGTTAGCATACTCTCCGTGAATGCCACTGTAAGTGACACTTTTAATGAAGGAAGATCATTGCCTGGAATGGTTGATCCATATCTGGTCCTAGACCAGGTTGCTGTTATCTAAATATAAAAAAAAAAAAAATATTACTATTTTATCTCTCTCTTTCTTACACACACATGACTGAAATGTTGTTTGTAAGATTTTGTATTAAATATATTTCAGATACCTCATACTTCTTATATGATAGATAAATAATGTATAATTTTTCAAAGTTTTAAATTATAGTTTAGGCACTATTTTAAAAAGAAGGATGGATTTGTGGTCTTGGTGGCTGAGATTACTTTAAAGGGGATAATTTTCCTCAAAATTACTAAGAATGGTACAGGAATTCTTTCTAAGGTGACTTCAATGCTGATTTCATTCTTTTATGAATACATTTTTGATCCTTTTATCTTGAAATATGTAATACAAATCTAGTCATAGTTCTACATTAAAATTATATTGGGAAATCAGACTTATGGATGTGTGCATTTTATTTGATATTTAATAATGCCCTCAGACAGGTCATTCAAATTTTTATTAAAGTGAAGTGATTTGACAGTCAGACTTTGAATTTAATGCATGAATGTTTCATTTAAGCTCCTGGAACTAAAAAGGAAAAAAAAATTCCCTGGGAGTTAGTTGTTCTCTAAAAAATGTTTGAAATAATTCAGATTTATTTTACTGAAATAACTTTAGTTTTTGGACTTAAAATGATTTTTTTTTAATGTCCTGTCTGGATACCTGGAGGACTTTGATAACCAAGACTTATTATTCCCATGAATAATCTGTGATTTTTTAATATTACCATTTAAGAAGTGTGAACCAAAGTTTTGTACTTGTTTAAAGAATTAGCATGTAACTCACCAGGGTCTGGAAATTCTTTGATTCAGCAGTGCTAGTTCGGATTCATGGGAGCCAATTGATAGTAAATGATCCTTGAACCATTGAATATTCTACATGATGCAGGAGAACAAAATCTATTTTAATAACAAACAAATAATAAGACCAAGATTACAATCCAGCTTACTTGTTGCTCTTGGTATTATAATATTGGTACTACTCTTCCAACAAAATGTTTATTTGCTTATTTATTTCATTTAGTATTAGCCCATTTTTATTTTATTTTATTTTTTCATAATTTTTTTTTATTTTAGGGTATTATGTGGGTACAAGTGTTAAGGTTACATATATTGCCCCTGCCCCCCCTCCCTCCTCGAGTAAGAGCTTCAAGCATGTCCATCCCCCAAACGTTGCACATCTTACTGGTTGTGGTTGTATATACCCATCCCCTTCTCCCCCCTCCCACTCTTCTGACACCCGATAAATGTTACTCCTATATGTCCACTGAGGTGTTGATCAGTTAATACCAATTTGCTGGTGAGTACATGTGGTGCTTGTTTTTCCATTCTTGAGATACTTCACTTAGTAGAATGGGTTCCATCTGTATCCAGGAAAATACAAGAGATGCTCTATCACCATTGTTTCTTAAAGCTGAGTAGTACTCCATGGTATACATATACCACATTTTATTAATCCACTCATGAATTGATGGGCACTTGGGTTGTCTCCACAGCTTTGCAATTGTGAATTGTGCTGTTATAAACATTCGAGTGCAGGTGTCTTTTTCATAAAGTGATCTTTTTGATCTTTTGAGTAGATGCCAACTAGTGGAATTGCTGGATCAAATGGTAGATCTACTTGTATCGCTTTGAGGTATCTCCATATTGCTTTCTACAGAGGTTGAACTAGTTTGCAGTCCCACCAGCAGTGTAGGAATGTTCCTCTCTCTCCACATCCACGCCAGCATTTGTTGTTTGGGGACTTTTTGATAAAGGCCATTCTCACTGGAGTTAAGTGATATCTCATTGTAGTTTTGATTTGTATTTCCCTGATGATTAGAGATGTTGAACATTTTTTCATATGTTTGTTGGCCATTATTCTGTCTTCTTTTGAGAAGTTTCTGTTCATGTCCTTTGCCCATTTTTAAAAGGCTATTCTGACAATTCAAAGACTGTCTCACTTGTAACTCAAATATTGTTAAACTGTGCACATATTTACAGTAACACTAATGAATTATAATTATTTCCTGTAAAAGCCAATACCACAAGTCTCTTTAGGTAGTTTGCTTTTTTCTCCCCTTAAAGGTGAAAAAATAAATGTGCCCAAAATAGTTTAGGTAAAAAAAAAAAAAAAACAGAAAAGGGAAAAAGAGGTTATACGGCAATCATTTCTGAATAGTCCCTTTGTCAAACTTGACGTCATTTTTCTTTCTGGGTCTTTGAAGTTATCCTTGACTGTATTGAACTCTTCCCTACTTGTACTTCTGCAATTAATGACATTTTATTAGCTTTAATAAAACTATAGGTAGCATCAAGTTCATATCAGTTTTCTTTTATAGCCTAAAAGAGTTATAGCTTAGGTAAGGATATGGCATTTTATAGAAAAGGAGGGGGCCGTGTGAGGAATGTGAGAATGTCAACTCTGAATGACCAAGTGGGTGACAGCTATTATCCTTCCAGGATAAATGGAAAGCTCAGAGCCATATTTTCAGTCAGTGGAACTTGGACTCTCTTCACTCTAATAATTTAACATGATGCAAAGCATTAGGGTGAGAATTGAAAGCTCTGTAGATATAGCTATTTTCTATTTACTGCATCATACAGAATTTCCTCAAAATGGAATGAATTTCCTAAAG